CAGTTTAAACAGGAATTTGTTTTCAAATGATGTTCCAGTTTCCATAGGAATTTGTTTTCAAATGATGTTCCAGATTCCACAGGAATCTGTTTTCAAATGATGTTCCAGTTTCCACAAGAATTTATTTTTAAATGCATTTGACTTTTGTTCCATGTCTTCAGTGGTTTTCCAACTGTCAATGTATGTAAAAATGTAAATAACATGCATCATCAATCAACAAACATTGCTCTTGTGACAGCATGCCTGATTTCTAAGGAGGAACACTAGTATTTGGAATAAAAACAAATTGATTAAAGGTAGGAGATCTACATAAGGCACCAAATTTAATCTTATCTTGATTGGTCTCTTTCCCCAGAGAGGGTGGCAGCCTGTTGACAGCAGAGCATTAACTGTATCTCCAGTAAAAATCCCCCAAGTAACAAAACTGTGCTTGCAAACAGAACCATGAAAATTAACCCATGACCAGTATATATAATAAACAAATAGACATGCATTGATTGGCACTCACAGAATGAAGGACACACTAGGCAACAAAAACAACTGCAGGCTATAGTTGCCATGCCGAGAATCGAACCTATCACCTCCAACTGATGACAGTGCCTCACAAGTTTACTAAGACATATCACCAACTAAACACCCCGCTTTAAAAAAAAATGGGCGTACTATTTACTGTTTCTATAACCTCAAAGGTTCCTAACGCATTAATTATGTTAACTAACCTATGTCCATCAGAGTTGTGAGACAAAAAGCTTGACATTTTCCTGACAGAGGCCCTCTTTTCAAAATAATTACAACAATGCTGTATAGTGTGAAAACACTGCGTTGTTTAAAATTTTTTTTTTTTCAGACTCAGACAATAAGCATTATGAAGGCACACAAACTTATAATCAAGTACAGTCTGACAATTAGTGAACAATTATTTGGTGGAGATGTGATTTATAGACCAATGATAGGAATACCATAGAAAGATTAAAAGAGAAGTGAAGATCTTTTGAAAGAAACTGGCTCACAAAGTAAGCTAACTGACACATCAGAAGGAGACAAGAACTAACTGACACCTCAGAAGGAGACAAGAACTAACTGACACATCAGAAGGAGACAAGAACTAACTGACACGTCAGAAGAAGACAATCTACATTCTTTGGTCATGTCATGAGAAGGAGAAAACTGAAGTACATTATGATGGTGGGAATGCTGTAGGGGAAAAGAGGCAGAGGGAAACTGAAAGAGTTGATACTGGACAGTTTGTCATCATGGCATGGAAAACCATCTTTGTCAGAAGTGATTTCAAGTACATGAGACTGAAGGATGTGGATAGCCCTATGCTCTAGAATGGCAATCAGTAAACGGTGAACAGAAAAGAAACTTTCCAAGCAGCAAAGGCCAGCGTATTGTACTCAGTTATGCAGGAAGCAGTGAAACAGGCCTTATCCATGATGCTGGACTTATTTTCCAATCAAAAAAGTACGGATGGTAGGGACTACCACACTGAAATGAATGGACACATTTTCAGGCACTGGATGGAAAATGAGCTTTTGCCTAGTGATGGATAATGCCGCCTACCATAATGCTGTATCAGAGGAAGATACCAATGACATCAAATAAAAAGATCAAATTAGGACTGAAGGGGAATACTAACTGTTGCACACTGCAGACATGTTTACATGCTGGACAAAGCTGACAGATTGGCTGGATCTGCACCACTCGGTGGTGAATTGATACATGACAAGGCAGATGTGGTCGAGGCCCTTTGGGAACAAGTAATGAAGTCAGAAGAGAAAATAGATTATAATCCCCTGGAGAGAATGATACACCTGGGTGTGACCAAAGGGCAAGATGGACATATAACCAGATTGTGTCAGATATCCTTAGTATTGGAACTCTGTGCTGGCTGCTGACAATGGGGATGGAGTGCATATGGGAATGCCCAGAGTGCTGTGATGTCTTTCTTGACTCAGTTGAACATAAATGACAACAAATAAATTTTCTTCATCTATCGATGTATTATGAAAAAACAGAACAGGAAATTCAGATTTTTACTGTAAAATCTACAAGTTCACTCCACTTATGTACAATGGATCAAAGGAACTGGCTGGTATTCAGCATCCTAGCATCTATGGACTAAAGAATATCACTATTTTTACATCATGGATATTCTAAGGCTGCATACAAAAAAAGTGTTGTGATCTAACAGGAGTTTTCGAGAAAATGGCTTGCAAGTATGTTTATGAGTTAAAATGGTGTTATTTTTCTATGGCTGTCTTCTTCTTCTTCTTCTTCTTCGCATTCACCAGCTGTAAACTCTGGCAGAAAGTTATGGTTGTTTGTCCACTTCTGGATACCAGTCCTGTTTCAGAACCTGAGTGCTGTGTGTACATCCGTTTCACAGGTCTGACTCATTTGCATGCAGACTGTTGGTTCCTTGACTCTCAGGCAGATGTACTCCAACTCTGAAGGAAGCTATCAATTAGTCGACTCTTACGACATGCAGTGGGTCTATTCTTGTCTCCCCCCCCCCCCCCCACAATGGGGCCCCAGAACCCACACAGGGTTCTTTGGCTGTGATTTCTCGTGAATTGTTCTCATTCCTTATTATAGACTCGTATTTTTGCGCATTTCCAACTTAGGATACTATGTGTTTTGTTGTTTTTGTGTGAACAGCGTGACCTGTGGTTGTGCTATGTCAGTGTGGGATAATGACCGATAGATTTGGCAGCCTCGACCACTGTTTTCATCGTGGCAGCCCACTATATGGGAAGACAAAATCTCATCAGCAGGGGGATTAAAACTGTCTAGAGAGCAAACTCGATAAAAGCTGTCCCCAAAAACAGAATGTGTCAAACAATTGTTATAAAATTTTTAGTGGGGAGGAATCGATACATACAGTTAACTCACTGGCCATGGCCAGGCTCTATAGACAGTAAGTACATAAGCTGATGTATAAATTCCTACCTCATACAAGAAGTTTTTTCAAGACACACATTTATCTATCAAAGAACAAGACATGTTTATCTGGCTCTTTGATAGACAGCATGTCTTGACCAACATATTTCATCTGTCAAAAGGCAAGACATGTTTATCTGGCTCTTTGCAAGACAGTATGTTTTATTATACGAAATTTCTAGCTTAGATGCTATAAAGACATACAAATAAATCTATCAAAAGGCAAGGCACATATATCTCACTCTTTGATGAACAGTCTGCCTTGCTTAACACTTTTTTTTTAATCTCTGACAATTACCTTTATCAAGACATATAAATATGTCTATCAAAAGGCAAGACACATATATCTAGCTCTTTGATAAACAGTATATCTTGTATAACATTATTTTTTTTCAATCAAAAATTACCTTTTCTATCAAGACATATGCACATGTCTATCAAAAGGCAAGACACATATACCTGGCTCTTTGATAGACAGTCTGTCTTGATAACATCTTTTATCTCAAACAGTTACCTTTTGTATCAAGACATATACACATGTCTATCAAAAGGCAAGACACATATATCTGGCTCTTTGATAGACTGTCTGTCTTGATCAACATCTTTTACCTTGGACAGTTAACCTTTATCAAGAAATAAACATATGTCTATCAAAAGGCAAGATGCATACATCTGGCTGTTTATTTTGCAATGAACAGTTTCCCATCTTATACAATCAGAGCCATCAAGGCATGTCTACAAATAATCTATGACAGAATGTCTTCCTTCAGCCATTATTTCATCAGTGTGGTTTTTACATCCTCAATGAGACTGGTATCAAGCAAAGTTCAACTCTATGACCTGAAGGGAATCAATAGAAAATATCAGAGCAACACTAGAACATGCTAGCAAGCTTGTATGCAGGAGACCTTGCATTTTAGTTCCACCTATATTTATTTAGCCCTGTCGTCCTGAGAGGCAGAAAACTGACATTTCCAGGTGGGCAATTTCCCCGCAAATGTCACTTTTCACTGCTGTTGGCATCTATGGGAAGCTTCCTATGAAGCGGGAAAACTGACATTTCCAGGTGGGCGATTTCCCCGTAAATGTCACTTTTCACTGCTGTTGGCACCTATGGGAAGCTTCCTATGAAGCGGGAAAACTGACATTTCCAGGTGGGCGATTTCCCCGTAAATGTCACTTTTCACTGCTGTTGGCACCTATGGGGGGCATCCAGAGAAGCCAAAAAACTGACATTTCCAGGTTGGCAATCAACAGTAAATGTCACTTTTCACTGCTGTTGGCACCTATGGGGAGCATCCAGAGAAGCCAAAAAACTGACATTTCCAGGTGGGCGATTTCCCCGTAAATGTCACTTTTCACTGCTGTTGGCACCTATGGGGAGCATCCAGAGAAGCCAAAAAACTGACATTTCCAGGTGGGCGATTTCCCCGTAAATGTCACTTTTCACTGCTGTTGGCACCTATGGGAAGCATCCAAACATTTACCATAAGACTGTTCAAGTTTTTTATAAGACTTATTTGCTTTGAACTGTTTTCTAGGTTTCATGGCCAAACAGAACAACTGGTCTTATCAGTGTTTAATACCTTATAATATGGTGTTACAAGATACAGCATTTGATTTTAGCAGACCACTAACCAGTGAATATACAACAAATCCTAAGCAAAACTCTATCACCAAATTGTACCACATTCTGCAAATATATAAACAGACAGATGCTGAATTCAAATATGTATTTGATAAAAGTTTGACATTAGGAATAAATCAGTCAAAACAATGGTACATACCTGTTCAGAAAATGTCTCCAGAGAATAGTTCAATTAAATGACCAAGAAATGTATGTGCTCTCAAGCACAACTTGTCACGAATTGAAATAAAATATATAGTCTAGAGTTCTGAATTATCTCAGGAACAATTCTATACCAATCACCTTATAAACAACCTGCTCAAAGATGGCTAGCTAGCAGCCTTGATTGGTCTGGGTATTTAATTATCTTGAGCAAACAACAGTTGCTAAGGGAAGGAGGAACAGTTTCAGAGGAAGACTAAACACTTACAGTGCACCTCTGGCTACCAGAGCCTCCACGTTCTCGGTGTCTATCTGCAAGGCTCGGTTAAAGAACTGCAGTGCCTCCAGAAACTTCCCACTTTTGAACATGTCAACTCCCTGGGCCACACTGTCAATGTCAGAAAACACAATATCATTGTATCATTCATTCATCACAGTACCATTATGTAACACAGGACTAACACTTTCTATTCCATTCTATCCTGTTATTGTTGTTGTTGTTTTGGCCAAAAGATACATCAGAGCAAGTCAAACTTTATGGGTCGCTAAGTAAATTACAAAAGACAGTGAAGTCTATACTAGAGACATTGCAGAAAAGCCTAGAGGAGTTAATGCGAGGAAACTTAGTGAATCTTCGAAGTTGAGGAAAAACAAAACAAAAAATATTTTTAAAAGGCAACTCGAACTAGAACACCAACATGAAGTAACAGAAGGTAAAACCTATGTTGCCGGTGGATTTAACTGTTCAATTTATGTGACATTTTCCATGTATTGGTTACAAAACAAACAAAAACTGGGTAAGAACACTTTCTTTTTATATTTATTATATTTTATGTGACTTTAACAGTTTAAAAGTCAGTTTCCTCACAATTCTATTTTTCTGTTTGTTGTATTTTTAAAATCTTAAAATCTCAGCTAATAAAAAGACTAGAAACATGAAATTTGGTTTGGATACTCCTTAAACAATATTTTACACCCAGGTCTATTTAAAAACACGTTTTATTAAGTCATTTAAAATAAATTTGATTATTGTCTTATGACGCTAAGATTTTTTCAACTTTTCAACAAACCTACATTTAAACATTCTAAGAAAAATATTTAGAAACATCTTTAAGGCAAATAGACTATACCTGTTGCTCAACAGAGGATTAAAGTTCATGAATCAATCATCTATTTCTCAATACCTATGTTTGTTTTTGAAACTATAAGTCTAAGTACATGTTTTTTTTAAAATCATGATTTTTTTTTAAACTTGAAGTGTACATATGTATTAACTAACATACATCCCTACAAACGACCATTATAAAATTATTGGTCTAACATTGTTATTAACACACACAAAAATAATGTACTGACCCCTTAAGACATGTCCGAGGTGGAATAGATTAGAGGTTATGGCATAACCTCAAATGATCTTGATCACATATCACTCAAACAATCTTGGTTATGTACCACCCCGAAACAATCACTGATTGTATATCATCTTCAAATAAACCTTGATTTCATATTACTATCAAACAATATTTATTACACATCACTGCAAAATATTCATTTATAACATAACACTGTAAAATAAAAATAAAAATAGCATTACATTCAATCACTAATTATGCATCACCTTAAAAAAATTATTGATTACACAGCTTCAAATCTGAATGTGAAGTAATAAGCAGGCAGCCACCCTTCTGGTGAGCTACTTTATGATAAAGCAGATGCAGTGAAAGCTGCCTGGAATAAAGTAAACAGTGCAGCTGAACAGGGAGAGCATCCATGTCAGAGAATGATTTGGCTGGGAGTCAGCAGAGGGCCTTAGACAATCCTCTACTCAGTTGGAAAAGGCAAATTTGTCATCATGTTCATCAGCTGTAAGTTCTGGCAGAAAGTTCTGGCTGTTCATCCACTTCTGGACTTTAGTCCTGTTCCAGAATTAGGGTTTTGTTTGCACCTCTGTTTTAGTCACTTGGTATAACATCTGACAGGAAGTACTATGTGGGGCTGTTGTTCAAATACTATGTGGGGCTGTAGTTCAAGTACTATGTGGGGCTGTAGTTCAAGTACTATGTGGGGCTGTTGTTCAAGTACTATGTGGGGCTGTTGTTCAAGTACTATGTGGGGCTGTTGTTCAAGTACTATGTGGGGCTGTTGTTCAAGTACTATGTGGATCTGTTATTTAAGTACTATGTAGAGCTGTTGTTCAAGTACTATGTAGAGCTGTTGTTCAAGTACTATGTAGAGCTGTTGTTCAAGTACTATGTGGGGCTGTTGTTCAAGTACTATGTGGGGCTGTTGTTCAAGTACTATGTGGGGCTGTTGTTCAAGTACTATGTGGATCTGTTATTTAAGTACTATGTAGAGCTGTTGTTCAAGTACTATGTGAAGCTGTTGTTCAAGTACTATGTGGAGCTGTTGTTAAAGTACTATGTGGAGCTGTTATTCAAGTACTATGTGGAAGAGGTAGTGTAAAAGATAGGGGAAAATGAAATTAAAGGCATCAGCATGTATGGAGCAGATAATGCTCTACCCACTCCACCAGCAACTGATTATCTCAGTGATGGAGTATGGTTTATGCCTGCTCGCATTATCCAACAGCCAAATACAGAGGCTGGAATGCATGCAAAATTAAGCCATGCGAGTTTACACAGGAGACGAGAGGGCTTCTCGAACTGCATGCTGGAACCCACCAGCATATGTTGTTGTGGAAGCAAAAGTATTAAAATTATTACTGAGCAACTGAATCTTTTGTTGATTAGGAGGGTCACAGATGTTCATCACAGTTCACTACTCATCATCATTAAGTAGATATTCTTTTAATTGTTAAAAATGAGGACCCAGAACCCAAACAGGTAACCCTAAAACAACTGATTACTATTCATTCCACCAAACAAACATTGATTCACATCTAGTTTCCATAAACAAAATCACTCTGTACAAACCTATGGTATGCTAATTTCTGGGACTGCCATTTACGAAGGCCTTCGGCGTATTCATTTTCTGGGATGTGTAATCTGAAAGATATAAATACATACACAATGAGCCATGACTGTAACTGCAGAGAATGACTAAAACAATTACTAATAAGCTACAAACAATAATTCATTAACATGTGCCTGCACATAATACAGGGAATTCACTGTATTACATCCCTATGCAGGTTCAGGAGCCCCATGTAAGGGGAAAGGGGAAAGTAATAGATCCACAGTTCTTTAACAAGCAAGTCGTAAAAGGCGAGTAATTAGGAATGTGCTGAAATCAAATATTTTGGGCTAAAAAGCAAAAAAAAAAAATCACAGCCTAGCTGTAAACCATAATACAAAGTGCCAACCATCTTTTTGAGGGTGAATGGTGATGATGATGAGGACTTGAGTTGGTGGTGATGATGATGATTTAGGAGAAGAAAGAAGAAGAAAAGAAGAAAGGAGAAATTGTCACTATCTTCAAAATGGCTGGCTGTCTGCTGAGAATGCAATACAACACATATTCCCCAGCTCAAGCAACCATCCCTTTTCAGGAACCTAACAATGCAGTATGAAAATGAACTTAATGATTGATCTTCAGAGTATCAGTCAATGAAGATCCCCATCCAAAATCTGAGAAATAAACCAGTTATCAACCCAAGCTGACAAAGTCATTTTCATTATTAACTCTTTTAAAAGTAATACATATGTAAGTAAAACAGATTAAAATTAAGTGTCTCAAGAGTTCAAACCAGTTACATTTTATGCTGATTTCTGTATCCATTCTGCAAAAATGAATCTAAAAGATAAATTACTTCAGAATTCTGTGAATTACTTATGTGAATCAAGTCTAGAAAAAAAATTCAATCATAAACATTATTGACCTCAACAAGAGTGTGAATTATAAGGCATAATGCCCAATATGACACATTTTACACTGAGTGAAATGCTTTCGAAAAAAGTAATTTCTATAATTATGTGAATTTCTAACAAAAAAATTCTAACTTTTAAAACAAAACAAAAAAAACAAAAAGATGCTCAGCACAGTGCACAGGCTCTGTAGCTCTGGCGAGGATCCTGAAATACTTTGGGTAGATTTTTAACTCCAAATTTTGCCTGGGCAGCGCCGTTAGGTCACTATTTTGGAATTCCAACCGCCAAGGAATTTTTTTACATGCGCAACAATGCACACAGGTGTCTGATCTTACTACCCAGAGACCAAGGGGAATTACTAAAAGCCCAAACCCACGTGAAAAAATTTCAGCCCTTACCAGGGATTGAACCCCAAACCTCTTCTTGAAAGGCAAAATTAAATGTCAAAGGTTCCCCTGCATAGTGTTAAGGAGACCTAAACATTAATATTTTAACATTTTAACTTTAGAAAAAAAATGTGTGTCTGTGTGTAGGAGGGGGGTTACTTGTGAATCCAGTAGCTTATTAAAGACAGGTTGACATAATTTTCCCCTAAACCTCAGTGATGGAGAATATGATATGACCAGGTTGACATCTAACTGTCCCCTTAACCTCAGTGATATAGAATATAGTATGACCAAGTTGACTTACAATTTTCCCCTAAACCTCAGTGATAGAGAACATGGCATGATTATCCAATAAATAGTTGTGTTAGGCCCTTGGGAATGTAATCTGCAGATTGCTTCCCTATGTTCATTGATTACTTCCCCTTTATATATGTGTTTACATATATCCTTATTCCACCAAAAACAAAGCTTTTAAGTGTAGATAAATTATTTTAAAATTATTTAATGTTTAATTAACAAGTTTTTTTTAAAGCATTTGCTGGGCGCATTGTCATAAAGCAGTAATAATGTTTAACCAATCACAATACAGCAATTAAAGGAAAATATCCAGTGATTAAATTTAATTTTGAACAACTTTACTTACAAACTATTCCTGAAGAAAAATGAACAAATAATTATGTTAAATAATATAAGTAAAAACTCTTCTGTATTAAACATCAAAAAAGTTTTCCTATTTTTCTTTATATTGCTGTCTAATCTGGTAAATGTTGAATAGAGGCCGACCTCTACTACGATATAAAGATGTGTGCAAGCGGGACATGAATGATACAGTTATTGGGGTGGACTCATGGGAACAAAATGCCATAGACCGTGTTGTGTGGAAAGGGAAGATCAGGAAGGGAATGAGAGTGAAGGAAAAAATGACTGCAGAAAGGATGAGAGCTGAGCGTCTGAAAAGAAACAGATTAAACACAAATGTTGACAACAATCCCATGCTATCATTGCGGAAGACTTTTCTTGACACGGGCGGGTCTTGCTAGTCACACTCGCCATCCCCATGGGCTGTGAGTCTAATGCCTCCTCATAGCGCAATATAACACTATCCTCTGGAAAGACGGAAAGATGCCAATCAATCAATACAGATATCAGAGTGTGCACTTACCCAGCGAGGTATCTCATATAGGATGAATCCTCCTGTATCCCCAGCTGTTCAACAAGAGCTTTCACGTTTCCTGTATTGTTGAAGCCAAGGATTGAATGCAATACCTCGTTAAAAGGCATTCCTTCAATCTGCTTTTTGCGTCTGAAATAAAAACCAAACATGTCAAAATATCACGTCATCCAGGAAAATACAATCAGCAATGAAGACAGAAAGAGAGAAAAAGAGGTAGAAAAAAAAAAAGAAAGAAAAAAGAAAGAAAGAAAAAAAGAAAAAAAAAGGAAGGAAGAAAGATAGAAAAAAAGAAAGAAAGAAAGAAAGAAAGAAAGAAAGAAAGAAAGAAAGAAAGAAAGAAAGAAAAAAAAGAAAGAAAGATAGAAAGAAAGAAAAAGAAAGAAAGGAGGTGCAGTGGCGGGTTATAGTTTTTACATGTGTAAATGAATTTGTTAGTATGCTAAGAATGCACTTTATTTTAAATTAACTCAACACAATAACTGACTGACAGGTTGATCCTCATTATAGCACTTGTGACAGACCCATACATGCTTATTCTTCTGCAGCAAACCTGGGATTGAAAGAGTTATGTTGACAGACAGGAAGTGAATCATAGACATGGAGTCAAGTAGTGAAAAATTATGTTGATGGTGCATAGATGTGGGGGGGAAGAAGAGCAGAAAAAGAAAGTCTGAAAATTTTGGCATCACAGCATGGAGAATCCTCTGTGTCAGAAATGACTCAAAGTACACGGCACATAATACAGTAGAAAGATAGACTACCAATGTCATACAGCCCGGACTATATAAGAAGACGAAGAAGAAAGACAAGAATCAACCCGACATCCAAAGTCATAATGTAACAAATGGATTCTGACTGCCTCCTTCTGATGTGGGAAAATTTATATTAATTTAACTAACACATAAAAAAAAAAAACTGGTAAGAGATAAATTAACAAAGTAACAACTGGTGAAAAGCAGAAAACCAAGAAATTCAACTAAATAAAATAAAACAATGCTTGCCAAAGAAGACAGATTTTTCAAACCATAATATACCTGTAGTGTACAGGAAACTCTTGTTCTGTGATCAAGCCCTAAGAGGGAAACAAACAAAAACCCGTATTTTCATAAACCTTTATTAACATAAATAAGAATTTTTCAAAACTGAACCTTGGACCCTAGGTCAACTTAGCAGACAATGGGTACCAGGCAATGTCCTGGTATATGCCCGATGCTCCACAGTGAAAAAAAGGTCCTTTACTTTTTTTGTTGCATTTATGCACTGGCTGAGTGGTTACAACGATGGGCTCTCACCCATTAAGGTGATGGAGTTTTTTTGCCGAGGGAATCAAACACACTAACCTGTACAGTCCGTGGTGACAGCACTAGACGTGCGGCCCTAAATCCTCAAAGTCACGACCCCCTGTCTACACTACCCTATAAAGTGGTACATACAGACAGTAGTGACAGAATTGATGTGTAAGTAAATTTATGTGGTTTTCTTTCTTTTATGATCTCCGTCATGTGTTGTCAGTAGTCATGTTTTTTTACAGCCTTTTGTCTCAGGTACTCTCAATCATTTTTGCTAGAGATGATCCTCTATGCCACGATGCCAAACTATCTAGCATCTTCACTCTTGGTCTTCCTGTCTCTCTTCCCTTTTAACCGTCCTAGTGTTATGATGCATTCCAGTTTTTTCCTCATTTACTGCCATTTTGCACCTTTTTAGGGAAGCTAAATCCTGAGCCTGAGGATTTAGGATTACGGGGCTAGTGCAGCCATCATGAACTAGGCAAGTTAGGATTTATTATTGCCCTAACAGATATATCTCCATAACCTTACAGAGGATCTAAGCAATGGTCTCTCTTGAACAAGAGTCCATTATGCGAACCACTCTGCCAGATTATTCTCATTATTGTTTTCCTTTATAAAAATATTATTCATACTTTTATTTCATGGTTGTAGTACAACACCTGGGATCAATGTGTCGTCATAAGGTTCTGCTGAGCTTTCATCAAATCTCACACAGCAAATCCAATTTCAACTAGCTAGTTTTTGCTTGAGGCATAACAAGAGCATTGAACTGATCTCTGATGCTGCTGATCCTGCAGGGTGCCAATCATGGTCGCCTATGCTTACCAGCAAAACACAAGATGGTGACATTTTCTGGCAGAGGTGGGCAATTTGTAATTTTTTTTTTTTTAAACTGAAAAAGGGCGGTGGGACAAAAGCGTTTGGGAACCCATGTCTCAGATGAATGTTGACCAGATTCTATCCAAGCTATTGAAAATACTGGGGACAAAATGAAGATGTAGCCTGGACTGTTTCGTCAAATCTATAGTACAGTATATACGTGATACATTCTAGTTTTCCACTCCCACTTAAGCTCAGTCAGGTGTGCCTATCAGAACAAATATAATAAGATAGAGTTCATTTGTCTATTGTGTTTAACAACACGCCAGTGATGTAACAATCCAATGCAATTAAGTTTGTTGATTTTAAAAAACACAATTTCAATTTTAGTACAATGATTATTTTATTTAAACAATAATATGAAGACTACAGTATAAAATGCCATGACGTTCATTGCATACTTCTAACAGGTTATTGCTGTTACTGAATGTTTGCCAAGCCTTTTCTGGTAAAGTTTAACTCTCAGCCATACAGTTAACTGCTATCTTCACACACTGCAGTTCTTCTCTCCATTGACTTGCCAGCTAAATGCCTGTGGCCTCCCTGAGTCCTCGACCCTCTCACTCACCCATCCTTCCTTTTGCCTTTCTCTCCCCCCTTCTCTAAGCGTCACCCATTTTCAACCCCCCCCCCCCCTGTCAACCTGTCTGCCCAGGACCCTGATTTATGGTTCATCTCGTCTCCTTGCTTTATCTACTTGAAAGATTAACAGAATTTCTCGGTCTCTACCACCTGCTCATAGAAACCCAAGCGGGTCCTGGCATGTCTCACTTCATACCTGTTCACCTCCTGATCGTTCCTTTCTTACGTTTCAAATTTCAACTAGCATTCTTATTTTGCCTTTCCTTATCCTCTGGATGTTCTTGTCTGCCTACAGGTCAACAGGTTTGTGTCACTCATCTGTTTTTTCCCTACCCCTCATTCTCTGGATGTCCTAGTCTGCCTATAGGTCAACAGGTTTGTGTCACTCATCTGTTGTTTCCCTACCCCTTATCCTCTGGATGTCCTAGTCTGCCTATAGGTCAACAGGTTTGTGTCACTCATCTGTTTTTTTCCTACCCCTCATCCTCTGGATGTCCTAGTCTGCCTATAGGTCAACAGGTTTGTGTCACTCATCTGTTGTTTCCCAACCCCTTATCCTCTGCATGTCCTGGTCTGCCTACAGGTCAACAGGTTTGTGTCACTCATCTGTTTTTTTCCTACCCCTCATCCCCTGGATGTCCTAGTCTGCCTACAGGTCAACAGCTTTGTGTCACTCGTCTGTTTTTTCCCCATCCCTTGACCTGTACGTCATGGGGAGACACTCATCATCACCAAGTGCCTTGCCAACTGGCATAGGTGATCATGCCTCTGAAAAATATGCGATCCTGAAGTTTGGTTTGTTTGCTGATACCCCTCCTTGCCATGACAAAAGGCTGTCAAGAATCTTTTTATGCTGTCTTCCTCTGTCTCTTGCTCCACATATCTTTCCAGTTACCACAACATGTTCCTGTTTCCTTTTTCTCATAATCACCATGAATCAGCAAGTCTTTTGCAGAACATCACTCTCTTCACGGCTCACCTGAAAGTATCACTTTCCCTAGCCAGCTCTCCAGCCCCATGCACTTTCAATGCCAATGCATCTTCAAAGTTTTTTATCCATCTTTGCAGAGGTCAATCCCTGTCTCGCCTTCCAGAAACTGCACCGTCTTTTTCAAGCCACCATGACATTTGGTGTGGCCAAAATACTTCGACTTTTGGGACAGGATGCTGTTTCTGATAATATTAATAATACTCCCCCCCCCCCCCCCCCCCCCCCCCCCCCCAATCACTGTTTCATTCTGATGTTAGTGATAAGCTGTCTTCGAGTCCTCAGCTATTTTAAAACACCTGTGTTGCTTTTCTTTGACTGTTCAAGGAATTCTACAAATTATTTTCTGAGTTCTTATCAAATTATTTTGTTTGTTTACTATTCCAGATTCACAGCCATATGCTGAAACTGGCTCTAAATAGCAAGCATTAATTCTTTTTCCTAACCTCCAATAACATGGATTTACTGAATAAAGTCTTTATTTTATAAAATGCACACAGGAGAAAGTACCAGTAACTAAACTAGTGTTGGCATAAATAGCTCTTGGAGTCAAGAGAACACTAAGCTTACAAACTACCACCATATTGTAGAGACACACCAGGGGTAGGCATCAATACAAACACAATCTATCTTGATCTAATGGTCCAAGTTCATTACTAATGTACCATTGCTAAACACGTCTGCTGTATACCTACCAGTTCATTTAATCTGTTTTCTAAGTGTGTGTATCATTTCATATAAAACTTATCTGCTAAACATCTACCAGTTTGTCAAAATATGAGAGAGACAGAGAAATACTGGCACATACATAGACACATCAAAGGTGAGGAAATGGATGGATTGATGTGGGGGAGAACACACACATGGGGTATAAAAAAAAAATTTACTTACTATCTGTCTGTGGATAGTTTTCTTATTTGGTATAGCTTTCTCATAAAACAGTATCAATTCTTGAAAAACAAAATACTTCAGCCATATTAAACATCATATCTCTGCCACTGCAGTCCCAAGCCCGGATGAGAAAGGAGGAGGGTGGGCATGGGGCCAACAGCCCCCCACCCGGTAAAAAATTACCTGCTACAGAAACTTGCAGGATTACACAGAACAGAATGAAAGGGAGAAACAGACGGCAAGCCCTATGTGATGTGTAATGGCACAACAGGACAATGATGATGAAGAATGATGTTAAACATCATAATGGTTTGCAGAAAACAGTAATGGAGGGTGTTATTCCTGGAAGAAGAGGGTCAAGCGTTGAGCAGCAAGATAGTGGACACAAGATATCAAGGACACCCTGGAGATGAATATTCATGAGGTGAGAAAGTGGGCAGGAAACTGAGTAGCTTTTCAGCATGCTGTGACAACAGTGATGTTTCGCAAGAGATCAGCTACATGATGATAATTCTCCTAAAGAAACTGTTGCCTTATTGGAATCTTCACTGACATACACAAACAGAGCTGTAAAGAAATGTGTACTACTTACTATACGTGGGTAGATGTTTTTATCTGGTATCGCTTTTTCATGTAAAGAGATGATTATCTTCTCGGATTCTTCGCTCACGGCTAGAACAATACCTGTGATGTACAAAGTTTAAACAGGAAGATTTAGTACTTTGCTTCAAATCATGATTAGAAGACAATACCAATTGTATGATTACTCTTATAAGAGTAATTACTCTTGTTTGTTGAAATATATTATATCTTCTTCTTCTTCTTTGCGTTCGGTTTCGTATGCTCAGATCATACCATCAGTTGGGTTGCCTCTATGAACTTGCATGTTAGTAGCAGGTCCTTCATGGTTCCCCACAGCTTGCTCTGCACACTTTGCTCTTGGGGCCAGGTGTCTTTTCAAAGTTGTAGGTAGTCAAATTTCTCTGGAATTCCTAGGTAGAATGGGCAGGTCTGCAGAATGTGCTCAGGTGTTTGTGGTCCTGTTTGACAGGCACACTGTGGGGGAATGAAATACATTATATGACAACACCAAGCAGGAGAATGGAAGTGGGGACAGTACTGACAGCCTTTTGATGGCTGTATAGTAGAAATTCACATTAAAACGGCCTGCCTCCTCTAGTCCATACAGTATGTACAAGTAGTGGTACCTTTACAGGCCAGTGGTACATCGAGCGCAATATGCCAGATTGTTCCTCAAAGGGTGATGTGGTCAACATAATGCCAGCTGCCTTTACTTCCCAGGACTTTATCTGGTACTCATTTAAGGTTGGGGTGACCTGGGTTCCAAAGACACATATGAAAAAAATCTGACTCCATGTGGGTTTTTTTAAACTCACGACCTTTGTACCAGTAGGCGAGTGTCCGGACATATAGCACTGCTAAATATGTCTGCCCACAACCTTCTGTCTCACACTTTCAATTATTTCTGACATAGACTATCCTCCCTGCCATGATGCCAGAGACTGTCCAGCATTTTTCTCTTGGTCTTGCTCTGCCTCTCCTCCTCTCAACTTTCCTATTGTCAAGACAGGCTGCAATTTCTTCTTTCCCTGAGGTGGCCAAAGAATGTAGATTGTCTCCTTCTAATGTGGGTAGTCAGTTCTCTTCGTGAGTTAATTTCCTTCAAGACATCTACATTGCACTTTTTTATCTGCCCACAGTGTTCTCATCATTTGTCTATAAAACTATATCTCTGCATTTTCAACATAATTGTTCATTACTCAGCTAACCGCCCAGTGCCTCTCATTTAGTGCTCAACTGCAAACTCCTCATCACGGTGCTTAGCAAAAGTGGAAATTCATAATGACAAAGACAAATGACTATCTGAAATTACACACAAATTCAAAGACCTTCCTTAGAAACCAACCTCTAACAATGTCTTTCTCTTGAAATGCATCAAGCGCACTTTCATTTGGGTATAACTTTGGCAGCTCTTTCACTGGGCAAAATGCCTGAAATCAAATCAAAAGCAGATTATAACAGAAATAACACAGAGGAACAAACTTATTACATTTACATAATCTAGAAGACAAATAATTAGCCATTTTTTTTAGCTAGTAAGAACTGCTTTGTTATGGAGCATGGAGGTTAAATAAGAATCCTTTTCCACACCGTCAGGCATTCTGGACACAAAGGGCTAGACATATTTGATAGACCGATCGTTACTTGGTAGGCGGCGTGGCCAGCATCATACTGGCCACCTTTATTTCCCAAAACTTTGCCTCATGCCCATTTAGAACTGGGTTACCCTAGGAGCCAAGGTCATTTCTGAAAAAAGTCCAGCATTTGGATTTTAACCAACAACCTTAAGAGCCGCATGCAAGCATTTAGAGCAAACATTAAATTATGTTTCAAACTCTGTGGAAAAAGTGCTACTGAACCAGTTGAGTTTGATGAGACAAGTTGAGGGGATCAGAGTTTATCCCGTGCATCAGGTGGTATCTATCATTCAAAACTGGTGTGGAAAAGATTGAAGATGAAGCTGGGCCAGGACGTCCAATTTTTGTTTGTAATGATGAACTCATTGCCAAAGTCGGAGAACGGATCGACAGAGCCTGATATCTGAGTGTCAGGATGGGAGCAAAAGAATATGCTGTTGAATTTAATCGCTTCAACTGTCTAAAGAGCACTTTTCTAAGTTTGAAACACAATTTAATGTTCACTTTTGGCTCCATGCTGCATACGTAATGACACAATTTTCACTAGCTAAACAAAATGGCGAAGGAATGGAGGAGAAGCACTATCACGCTTGTATCAAATCCATATCGTCCACACTGTGAAATGAAGCATATCTGCTCAAGTTACAGTCAAATGCATCTCTGAGCTATTCTATCAGAATAACCTGTTTCTATCCATACATACAGAAACAAAAGCAACTCAATTAAGGTTTCAGAATCTCTATAGGAAAATATTGTCCAATCATCACTATCATCTAGCTGCGCTGCTTAAATGCTCGTTGGGGGGAAAAAAAAGTGATTACGTTCATCTCACTTTTAATGAAGATTTAATTACAATAACAGTCTCTTTTCTTTGCATCTTTTTTATCTTGATTTTTTTCTTCTTTGTGGCAGTGTTTGAGTTACATAAAGTTCCTAGTCTATTTCTCCATTCTAACATGAACAACCTGGACTTCCGGTTTAGAAATGGCAGCGTGAAGACGTGTTTGCGGCGACACTCGATTTTATTCTAAAATTTTCACTTAATCGGTGTTTTTCTCTTGATAACAAAGTGCGATTATTACGAATTCATTGACGATGGATATTCTCTTGTTCGTGGATACAAGTATTATGTGGTTTAGGGGTGTTATAACGGAATTATTTCCACAAAATAGCCACGGCGGCGGCCGTGTCCTAATTCTGATAATGTAACCGCGTAGGAGCCACGCTCCCATTATAAACATGGGAGTCCACGGGTAAGACCCCAGTCTACTCTAGCACAACAAGGTGCTGAAGTCGGAGGCAACCAGCCAGGAGGCGCACCACAGCAATCAGGATGCCACGCACAAACGCAACAGGGAATATTTCTATATCTGCAAATAAGTTTGATTTCCACCATGCGACCCACTCACGTACACGTGGTTCGATTTACCGGCCTAAGACAAGAAGAAAGAGTCCAGCTTCAAATACTCGAAGCCTCCCCCTAATGCCCCGTAGAACCAGAAAAGTAGAAAATACAGCTAGCCTTAAAATAATGCACTGGAACGCGGAGGGAGTAAATACTAAGAAATTAGAATTAGAAAACGTCTTGAACGAAGAGAATGTACATGTATGCTGCCTACAAGAGACTTATCTCAAACAAGATATGGCCTTTAAGATCAGAGGCTACCAGTGTTTCCGATCTGACCGCAAAGACAGGAGAAAAGGTGGAATTCTTACCCTGGTCAAAAATAACATCCTTGCGGGCCGGATCGAAACATACATGGAAGGTGCTGAGTATCAAACACTTGAGCTCAAGTTAGAAAATACAGATTTACATCTGACCAACTATTACTGTCCGAGCGACCGCCCTCAGGCACTGGATACAGTACTAGTAAATGAAAAAATGATCATTTGTGGGGATTTTAATAGCCATTCCCAAAGTTGGGGATACGATCATATGGACCAGAGAGGAGATAAACTAGAGGACTGGCAGGATGAGAATAGGTTCATCCTCGTTAATAAGCCAACCGACCCACCAACCTTCTACTCTAGAGCATGGCATACCACCTCGACACCAGACCTAGCCTTTCACTCACCAGACATGGAACTGAATGTTACCAGAACTGTTGGGAAGCAACTAGGAGGCAGTGACCACCGGCCAGTCTTTCTAACTATAGAAAGCCAGTCTGTAAGAGAGAGCAGCACACTGCCAAGGTGGAATTTTAAGAAGGCAGACTGGAAGTTGTATCAGCTTCGCACAAATGTTCTGCTGGAAAATCTAAACACAGATAACGATGTAGAAAAAGTAGTCCAAGAGTTGAGCAAACGCATGCTGCAGGCAGCCCTAGAAGCAGTTCCAAGAGGTGCACGTAAACAATACAAACCGTACTGGAATTGCGATTTGGAGCAACTGCACAACAATATGGAAACAGAAAGAAAACAAGCTGAGACCTGACCTTGTCAAGAGCAGTTTAACAACTACCAACATTCAAAGGCCAAATTTCAAAGAGCCAAACTGCAGGCTAGACGGGCAAGCTGGCAAGAAAAGACAAAGTCTCTAAACTTTGAAAGAGACACAAGGAAGTTGTGGAGGTTAATTAAGCAAATTAATTATGAGAATACAGGAAGAAATGGTAATATTGCACTATGCAAAGAGGGAGCCATCCTAACAAGAAAACAGGCAGCTGACCACTTTGCAGATTCCTTTGCAGAAGACAGCAACATTAATGTCAGCCCAGAGAAACAGCGAGAGGTTCAAGAAAACAAACAACATATAAGACAAAAAGATTAATTCCTGAGGCACTGGTGGCAGCACTTACATCCAGCGAGTTAGAGTTAGCAATATCAAAGCTGAGACTGGGAAAATCACCTGGAATTGATGGTATCACCAACGAAATGATCAAGAACCTTGGAACAACTGCCAAAAAAAAGCTGCTACAGATCTTTAATCATTGTTGGACCAGTGGCAAAGTTCCTCAAATATGGAGAGAAGCAATCACAATACCTCTGCTTAAACCAGGAAAGGACAGTTCTGATGCCTCCAGCTATAGACCGATCAGTCTTACCAGCTGCCTCTGTAAAACAATGGAACGTATTGTCAACCTTAGACTCCAATGGTACTTGGAAAGTGAAAACATTTTCACGCTGCAGCAGGCAGGATTTAGACAGTGCTACTCCACAGAAGACCAGACAACTTACCTTTCACAAGAAATTGAGGATGCCTTCCAGGAAAAGAAGCTAGTGCTAACGGCATGGATAGATCTGAAGAAAGCCTTTGACAAGGTCTGGAAAGAAGGTCTACTGAAGAAACTGAGAGACTGCAGGGTGAATGGGAGAATGTACAAATGGGTGAAAGCATACTTGTATAACAGAAGATCCCGAGTACAGATAGATGGACTTAAGAGTAAGAAAGTTTTGCTGCGCCATGGCGTCCCACAAGGAGGTGTTCTGTCCCCCACACTCTTCCTAGTCTATATCAACGACCTGCTTTCTGAACTACCCCATGGAATTAAAGCTGCAATGTATGCTGATGACTTGGTACTCTGGTGTACAAATGAAAATGCGACAGTGGCCACCAGGCTGCTACAAAGAGCCATAGATGCAATGGCTGATTGGGCCAACAAATGGTGTGTCAGCATCAACATAGGCAAATGCAGCACCACCCTCTTTACCCTTTCTCCTAAACAAAAATCAGGTGTCATGCACATAAATGGAGTACCCCTGAGAGAGGATAAGGAGCCCACATACCTCGGCGTAACGTTTGATGATAGATTAACATGAAGAAAACACATCAACAAGGCAGCAACCAAAGCCAGAAGGAGGGTAGCCATTCTGAGAAAACTAAGTGGAACCACATGGGGTGCTAGCGGGAAAATACTTAGAAAAGTTTACCAACAAAGTGTTCGACCACATCTTGAATACGGATCAACAGCATGGAGTTCGGCATCAAAAACCACATTGCAAGAATTAGACAAAGTGCAAAATCAAGCACTCAGAGTTACCACAGGCAGTATGAAATCAACACCTATAGCTGTGATGGAGAAAATGGGGATGACCCAAGCACTGAGTGAACGCAGAGACACCAAGATGCTTTTACAAGCAGAAAAGTTTCTTAGTATGCACAGTCACCCTATGAATGAAAGATTCCAAAATTTAGCTTTGGGACGACTAAAGAGAAGTAGTTTTATCCACCAGGCCAAACGGCTCGGCAGACAAACCACTGATTTACCTGCAACTGATAGATCCCTAAATGCTGTCCCAGAACGGACCCCCTTGAGAGAGGAGTATAAGTTTCCAATACACATCAAGACTGAAGTGAAAGGGGTATTTGACAAGGAAGAACAAAACAGTGTGCAGCGCAAAACAGCCACCCTCAGTCTACTTGATGATGAATACCCGCAGAACCTTTGGGTCCGTGTTTACACAGATGGGTCAGCAGAAAGCGCAGTCAGAAACGGAGGTGCGGGAGTGTACATTGAGTATCCTAATAATACCAGGGATACAGCCAAATTACCAACGGGAAAGCACTGTCACAACTATGATGCAGAAGTTCAAGCCATCAAGATAGCGGCAGAGAAACTACTAAATACAGGGTATTTTTCACAACCAGTGGTATTCCTGACAGATGCAAAAGCAGTACTTCAGTCACTCCAGTCTGGAAAATTACCAAGCATACGGACACTATTATCCGAACTAGGCAACCGCTGTAAATTAGTAATGCAGTGGATACCTTCCCACTGTGGAGTTCCCGGAAACGAAAAAGCTGATAAACTAGCTAAGGAAGGTGCAACTGAAGAACAACCTAACATACCAGT